CTAGACCGGCAGGTCCGACAGTTGAGATCTAGGAGTTTTCCCTCTGTTCGTGTTCAGTGGAGAGGTCAGCCCCCTGAGGCCTCGACCTGGGAGTCCGAGTCCGATATGCGGAGTCGTTATCCGCATCTGTTCCCCGACTCAGGCACTTCTTTCTTTTGTTCGTTCGAGGACGAACGGTTGTTTTAGAGGTGGAGGATGTGATGACCCAAAGGGTCATCACCTATTTCCTCATCCATTTCGTGCTTTCGAGGCCTTAAAACCTCATTTTTTTACTTGCCTCGATTTGCGTGCGCAGTCCGGGCGCGTAGCCGGAAAGCTTTTATGTTGAAATATGTGGATTCCATGAAAAATTCGAAGAATTTTGATATTAATATGATTAAAGTTGACTATGGTCAACATTTTTGGTAAACTGACCCGGACCCGAGATTGGACGGTCCCGGAAGGTCCGTAGAAAAATATGGGGCTCGGGCATGTGCCCGGAATCGAATTCCGAGGTCTAGAGCCCGAGGAAAGAATTTTTCTGTGAAATTGTTTTTCTGAAATTATTAAGGAAAATGGAAATGAAAATTGATTAAAGGACTATGGTATCTGGATCGTATTTTGGTTCCGACGCCCGGTACAAGTCTTAATTATGTGTTAAGCACTTTCTGTGATGTTTGGTCGAAATCAGACGTCATTTGACGTGTTTCGGACCTAAATATCTAAAGTTTGAAGTTGATGAAGTTATAATGAAAAATCATGAGTTTTGAGGCTTGATTCTATGTATATGATGTTATTTTGGCGATGTGATCGCGCGAGTAAGTCCGTAGGATGTTTTTGAGGTTGTGTGCATGTTTGGTTTGGAGCCCCGAGGGCTCGGGTGAGTTTTGGATAGGCATCGGATTGCATTTCTCATGTTTTAAAAATCTGGTATGCTGGCTTCTGCAATTTTCGCAAATGCGAAGGGAAGACTCGCAATTGCGAGCTCGCAAATGCGAGCACTGCTTCGCAATTGCGAAGTCTGGAGAAAATGGGGCACTGTCGCAAATGCGATGGGTAGGCTCGCAAATGCGAAGGGGGGGAGGTTCGCAAATGCGATGCCTCTTTCGCAAATGCGAAACCCCGCCTGTAGGCCCAGTGTTCGCAAATGCGAACCAAGGATCGCAATTCCCAGCCCTGTCATGTTCGCAAATGCGAACCAAGGCTCGTAATTCCCATATCCGAGGCCCAGCAAATTTTATACTTAGACGAATTTCAACCCTCTTTTCTTCATTCTTTCAAAACCTAAACACCATAGGCGATTTTGCAAGAACAATCTTCATTCCAAATCATTTGTAAATCAATTTTTACTCAATTCTTTTAATCTTTAACATCATTTAACATGTTTTCCACTTAAAATCAAGGATTTTCATGGGTGAAATTGGGTTTTTGGGTAGAACCTAGGTTTTCCATAAATTGGGGAGCTGGACCTCGATTTGAGGTCCGATTTCAAAATAAATTATATATTTGAACTCGTGGGGGGAATGGGAAACCGGATTTTGGTTCGAACCTCGAGTTTTGGCCACGTGGGCCCGGGGGCGTTTTTGGAATTTTTGGGAAAAACTTGGAAAAATTATTTTTATGCATTCCAATTGATTCATATATTTGTGATTAGATTCGAGCGAATTGGAGGTGGAACCGCGAGGTAAAGCGATAGTTGAGGATTAAGTAGATTTCAAGGCTTTGAGGTAAGTGTTTGGTTTAACCCTAGCTTGAGGGAATAGGAGTTGAGTCTTGTTGCTAACTGCTATGTGATCGAGTACGATGTATAGGCATGGTGACGAGTATCTATACATTGGTGTCTAGCATGACCGTGAGTCCTTATAATGTGATTATCATGAACTTATCGTGAATTTCATGTTTATTGGAGTATTTCCATATATTGTGAATAACATGTGAATGGTGATATGATACTTTGATTCCTAGGAGCATTGGCTCGAACTGTGATACGAATATTGAAAGTATATGAAATGACTTGAATCTGTGGAGCGTTGGCTCAAGATGGTAGAGTGGATTATAAGATAAGAAAAGTAAGAAGGAGAAAGCGTTGTTGATTATTCCCTTGCCGGGACGTTTGGTTGAACTTGTTGGTTTCTTTCCCTTGCCGGGATTTTTGTCAAATATTTGCTTATTTTTTTTATGCCTCTTAACCGTGACTGTTGTTTGGGGAGTCAGACTGTTAAATGATGTGGATCGGGCCGCAACAATAATATGTGAGGATCGGGTTGCGCGCCGCAACAATGATACATGATAAATGATGTGGGTCGGGTTGCACGCCGCAACGGTGGTATTTGTGGATCGGGTTGCACGCTGCAACAGTGGTATTTGTGGATCGGGTTGCACGGCGCAACAATGGTAAATTGTGGACCGGGTTGCACGCCGCAACAGTTACTGATACCATGTGTTTATTTTGAGTATTGGTTCTTGCTCACTGTAATTCTAAGCTGCTTTAGTTGGTTACTTTGGATTACTGTTAATATTGTTATCTCCCCATAGCATGTTTCCCCTCCCACATTGTTACTTGCTGGTATTTCGATTCCGTTGTATATTTATAGCTGCACAGGTTCATGTGGTGTCCGGTCTAGCCTCGTCACTACTTCGCCGGGGTTAGGCTAGTCACTTACCAGCACATGGGGTCGGTTGTGCTGATGCTACACTTCTGTGCATTTTTGCACAGGTCCAGGTTTTGAGGAGCAGCAGCAGCAGTAGTACGGGAGCATGATTTCATTTACACGAGACTGAGGTAGCCTTGCAGGCGTCCGCAGGCCCGGCGTCTCTTCCTTATATTCTCTTTAGACTGTTGCCTCATTGTTTTCGAGACAGACAACTTATATGTTTCTTTCAGCCCTTTGTATTTAGTAAATTCGTAGCAGTTCGTGAGTAATGTGACACCAAATCTTGGGTAGAGGCTATTATTGACTATTCCGCGTTTTGATTCAGACTTATAAATTAGACTTCCGCTATTATTATTATTAAATTCCATATTACTTGTTGATGCTATAGATTGTTAACCGATTTATTTATTAATGAAAGGTAAATAAGTCTAGCTACCACGAGTAGGCGCCATCACGATCCCGATGGTGGAAAATCCGGGTCGTGACACACTGCCTGTATAAGTCCCGTTAGTTTAACTTATATTTTATTTATTAAAATTTAAATAATATTATTAAGAACAACAGAATAAAATTTAAAATAAAAAATATTTCAACAGTAATAAATTATATATCTTCTCATATATTATAAAAAGAAAGCGAATACTAAATATTTGCTAATATAATAAAGAAAAATACAGAATAAAAAAGTTATTCACTGACTATATAAGTACTTGATTTAATGGAGATTTCATTATTGAGTATATCGTATTGACAAACAAGATGACAAATGAATTTTATTAAAACAATACGATCTAATAGGATCAAACAAGACTGATCATAATTTAATTTAATTTATATTTTTATTATTATTGACCGCGCATCGCGCGGGTACGACTACTAGTAAATTGAAACCGAGGGAGTAGTAAATATGAACTCATAACTATAAAAATATATGGAGTGCAATTCTAAGAACCTTAACGGCTAGAACTTAAATCTTGGATCAAACCTCTGTTTAGACATGGTATAAACGTATATGCCGCTATGTAAATAAGGGTTTTGTTAATTATTCGAATCATGGAATTGGTTTATACCTGAATACTATAAGAATATTCTTTGGTGCCTTTTTTGTGTGAAATTGGGTCTTTTTCAATACATGGACAGAGTTAGGGAGTCGGGCCTTAAGGAAAACTTGTCCCACAAAATGAAATATATGATCACAAGATAATCAATTTTAAGGTTTATTCAGTGGAAAATATTTTGTGTTAGTCTGATCCTTTTAGATAAGTAACCTAAATAGTTGTTCACGTAATTGTTTAAACTAAAAATAGCAAGTAGATATATAATTCATATATAATATGTGTATGATCATATATAATCTATGTATACCATCTAAAAAAAATAAAGAGTGAATCCGGTTGGCTATTTGTGTAAACATCTATCTATATAGAATAACAAAGGCAAAACTAACACATGTCAAAAATTAGGACAACTCTCTAAGATGGTTGGAGTTTCAAATTCAAACTAAAAATCAGGAAAATAAAGTTAAATTTATCAAATTTCAAAAACTTCCAATCCTCCCACGATTGTGTTTTTGCAGTTAATCTCATTATTATTATTATTATATTATTATTATATTAGATATTAGATTATTAGACTTGCCTATTAAAGATAGAATTCCTTCCCCTTTTTTTGGTTGGCTGTTATAAAAATAAATCCTCCCACTTTCTTAGTTGGTCGTTTTTTACTCAACAACTACCCTCTCATATTTGTAATTATATTTTTATAAATAAAATTTAACAAAAAAAAAGGAGGAAACAGTTTTTAAAAAAATATCCGGCCATGTTTGAAGTTGGCCGTTTTTCTTTAACAACTGCCCAAAAAAAGGAGGAAAACAGACGGATTTTATCCCACGACTGATCGTGCTCCCAAACGTGGGCTTCCAACCAAAAATCCATATTTTATCTATACCTCCATAACTGATTAATTTATGCGCTTTATATTTTCAAAGGCTTTTTAACTTCATATTTTATCTGCTCAATATACCAGTCTGATTACAATTGCTTTGCAAATATGGTTACACAACTTCATGATATCAAACAAATTTCAGGCAACTCGATGCAATGGAATCTCAAAGTTAGGGTTGTTCGAATGTGGATAATGCCGGATCACTTTAAACCGGAAATACCGTATTCAATTGAATTGGCTTTACAGGATTCGAAGGTAACATATTCAACTTTCTCATATTTTTAAACTTCCGTTTCTCTGAAGTAATTCTGAACTAACCCTCATGACACGAAAACATACTCCGTAAGGTGATATGGAAAGAGCTGCAACAGAACATAATGACATTAAGTTATTGTGCATTAGTCCCAATTCATAAGGTGCATATCCATGATATAACTTTATTGGTCTTGAAGGTAATAAAATATCAGCATTTGACTAACTTCTATAATCTAGAGGTTCAACTTGCAATTGCTGAAGCCAAAAAGGAGCTCCTGGAGATGCATCACACCTTTATATTTCAAGCTGGGGAGCAGTAGTATGCTGAATTTGTAGCACATGCTATGTTGTTGGAATCTGAGATTCAGACTGCTGCTCCAAATCAACTGCTGGACTGCTTAAGCCACTGCTTCAAATTTGGCACTAGTACTGGAGATGATGTTCATCGTAAGCTTTCAAAGGTGATTGGATATCTACCTTGTCTGTGTACTTATGATATCATATCCTCATTATAATATATCTAGATGTTTTGTCTCTTCTTTTTCTAAAAGATAATTGAAATACTAATTTCAATTCGCGACGTCTTTTTCATTCACAAACCTTATTTCGCCAGATGCTCTGCTCATTTAATTTAAACAGTTATGCTGTTACCTTGCTCTCTTTTTCTTCGAAGGTATGGAGTTTATACCTTGGCGCGAAATTTAGTGATTCTTATGGTTGATGTAGAATTACTTAAACATTAACTTTATGTATCTCTAACGCATGATTGTACATCTTTCTTTGATAATATGTCACTGAGGCATGTATGTTTGAAATGAAGCTTCTTATGCCCTCCAATATAATGAATTTGCTTTAACTTACCATTTGTTGCTGCAGTTTTCTTCGTCCTCCTCTCTTTAGAATATCAAAATAGTATCTTCAATTTTCTTTTGCCAGATTTGTTTGTTACTTCCAGTAATAATAATCTGCATATCTGCATGTGGAAGGGACAATATGTACATAGGAACCGATCTTTCTGATATTCACGATATTACTTTTAACTACGCAAGTCATTCAGCTAGAGTTAGCTCTTTTGTTCTGCCTGGACCAAAGTTTTGAGCCAAGAATTGTATTCACAGGGAAACTATTCTGTAGATTATAAACACAACCAGAAGTCTATGCAACTAAACTTTGTAATAGAAACTAAACATTAAAAATATAACTTCCTATATTTTGGTATATGACTTTTTGTATTTAATAAAATTGAACTATTACCATGAAACATACATGAAGAACATGATTTCGGCAACTTTGTGGGATGAACTTGTGGATCAAATTCAACCATAATTTAATGGATCTATGATGAGTAAGGATTTAGTGAATAAAGCTGTGGAAAGACTGAAAAGTTGTGGGGTACAATTGCTATGCATGTGAAAGATTGAGCTTTTTGCTGGGATGATGAAAATAATACTGAAAAAGCATTGAAAAATATAAACTTTTGGGATTAAAAAATGAGAGCTTGCAGCTGTATCGTGGACTGTTGGGGCTGAGAAGTCTTTCCTACTTGCATAAATACTTGGTTAGGTGCACAAGTAGCCGGGTCGGGTATGACTCTCTTCCTTCTATTTGTTTGATTAATACATAGTTAATGTAGGGTGCCAATTTTTGCTTCTTATTGTTACCTCTTTTATGTGTTACAACAAAAAAAAAAAAAAAAAAAAAAAAAAAAACAATATAGACTATTAAGCTATTACCTCTACAATACAATTTGTCTTCTTATTGATGGTCTGCTACATTCTCATTGGTGTATTGTTTGATCTTCACTGAATCAGAGGTTTTACTGGTCAATAAAGTCAGACTACTGTGCTTCATTTCTTTGGCTCTAAACCTTAGTATTCTTTCATTCTAATGAACTTAAAGCATGTAATGGAAGCACCATTACATTGCATTAGCTGATTAGTTAATTTACACTTGCATAGCATATTTCACAATTTTTGGCTTGGTTGTCTATTGTTATGGATTAATAGTCCTAAATGCAAGCAAACTCAATTATTTTGTCAGTCTTGAGCTGAAATTAGTTCATGTTATCCTCAGCTGAAGCTCTTGGTTCTATTGCATTCAGTAACCATCTTTAAAAAATTAATATTTTTATAATGACACTTGCTCTCAAATATAGTCCCTGATGATTGGTTTGATATGGTGGAGCATGTATCCAATTACAATAACAAGAGGACTAAAGTGAGCATGGATCTTTTATTTAAAGTATTCTTATTGAATATTCTGTCAATTGTTCTTCACTATAATTTCTCACGTTGTTTTTTATAATATAATTAAAGAACTATGGAGGTAAATTTACTTTGGCTTTTCTGGTGATTGGTGCTGCAAGAACTACTATAATGTTGTTTATATATTATATCCATATTATTTTCAACAGTTTAGGAACAATTAATTTTTTTCTTATTAACTCTTACATTCCATGAACTTGCATAGTGTACAGGCGGATCACTAAAGTATCAAGGTGTCTAAAATTAGATTCTAAAATGAGATTCATATCAAGGCGGACCACTAATTTTTTTGGCAATCCATCTGCTATCATTACGGCAATGCATTATGTAACAAATGCAGCCATACTTTTTATTTTGATAGGAAAGATACAATAAGTTTATAAAATTTATTCTTATGTTTTATTTGTGATTATATTTTTCGTTTTAATTTGGTCATTTACAGGGAGGTTTGATTATCAATGATTCTCCTAAGCGACAACTCTATTGTAAATGTTGCTCGATGGTCTGGAGCTACTATTTACGTTTTTCAACATAACAGTAAGTTTTTGCAACTTGGGCTATGCCCTTTTTAGTCATAACATGTTTATAGAGTGAGTTCATCTTATTTCGTTTTAATGCTTTGCTTGGACCTAACTTCTTTAAGATTTTTTAATAGGTGAAGGTTTTGAAAAAACATAATTACGAGGGACAATCCATAACACACGCGCCATGGAAGAATATAATTGTTAATTATGAGGCTATAAAGAACATTATTGGACTTCAGGAAATAGTTGTATGTTTCTTCATTGTGTTTCCTTATTACTTTATTATACGAATATCCATTACATTTATATGTTCCAAAAAATAATAGCATTTCCATATTCTTTTTTATCTACCGTCTTTCCCAACATATATTTTCTTATAAAAAGTTCTTATATTTATATTCTCTGCGCAACGCGCGGGTACGGATACTAGTTTGATATAGAATTTAGATCTCCAATTTATGTTTGCATGCCGAATGAATAACTTGGGCCTAACTCAGAAATGGTTAACTCAATTTTCTTTGGAAATGGGTCAAAGCTAAACCCAGCCTAGAATTAAATAAGGGACCTTTACGTAAATAGCCAATCAGATCACAGTTACTTTTGGAAACTTTACATTGCATAGCCCCCACCAAATAATAGTAGCCGACAGTATTTATATATATTAATGTATAATATACATATTTTCGTCATAATTAGTGCATATCTTTTTTTATATATATTTGGCTAGCATATACCATTATTTTCGGCTGACTGGCCATATGTGTTAAAAGCCCTTTATTTTTTCTAATCGCTATACGTATATTATATATCGTTTATAACCGATTATACATATATTATACAAGATTTTTTATATGTATATATAAATCCATCAACTATTTAGGTTTAAGTAGTTGGATGAGCGGCTATTTGGCACAAAGTAGGATTGAACTAAAACTCGAAGGTTGGGACTTGAGTTGGAAATCCGTGGCTGCTAAGTATCAATGGCAAATCACTGTAGCCCAATCTCGCTTTGGATTCTGGTCAAATCAAGACTTAGTAATTTGTGTTCTTCTTCGAGTTTCAATATGAAATTCAGTCAAAATTAAGTTTAATCTTCACCAAACACCCTTAAAATTGAGATATAAACTCCAACAAATATTCTCAGTTGTCTGCAACAACACCCAATCCAAACAAATAATAATTTTTGAAAACCCAAATTCGAATTCAAAGCTTTGAACCTTTTTAATGGTTGTCAATGGTGCAGAATCAAACATCTTCAAAATTTATTGATTGACAATTTTAATTCGAACATCAATTGTGCAACATGCTATTAAAACGATTGAAATCCTTTGATGAATTCCATTAGAACTCTATACAACAATAAAACAAATAGAGAAGGAGAATAGAGAGACGAAGAGAGAGGGGGGGGGGGGGGGGACAAGTATAAAGGGATAAGGAAATAACTGATATTTCTTGTTCAATTTCTAATATAGAGGGATACTCATTTAAAACTTATTTGTATATAATAGTGATGATAAGCTATAATTACGTATTTTAGTCGTTTTTTACACTCTAATTTACTGCACTTTAATTGAGTTTGAGCTTTAATCGCTAGTGTTTTGCACTAAATATGTATTTTATGCCTTGTAGGAGTAATTCCGAGCTATGTAGATAATGGAATGAATTCAAGTGATTTGGAGCTTTGAAGTCTAAGTAAAAGCCCAAGGAATTAAGCCGGTATCGTGTTCGGGGGTCGTGTACCAAGTCTGGATGTTAAAAGAGGACGAAACAAGTTTACTCTGAGAAAATTGCACTGCTGCGCCGCATAGGGCGCCGCAAGGCGCGGCGCGGCGCAGCAGTGTAAAATGGTGCCTGACTTGAAAATATGAAGCTGCAGCTAAAATGCACCAACGCGCCGCGTGGTGCGGCGCAACCTGCGGCGCGGCTGTTCAACTTTTACAGAGCGAAGTCCTAGTTCGCGCAGAAAAGGTTTTTTTCGTCTGGGCCCGACCCTACTTGGTATAAATACATGTAAAAACGCTATTTTGAGAGGTAGGATAGATTTGAGACATAGATTCGACCTAAGGAGGCAAGAACACATTGAGAGCAAGGCGGAGAATTCTTCTACGAGTTTTTCCTTCCTCTTCCTATTTTTCATTGTTGGTTATGACTTTTAGTATTGTAGTTTTACATGCTATTATGAATAGCTAATTTGTTATCTAGGGTTTTGATGGAACCTTTTGTAGGATAAATTCTTGTTATTTTTATATAATTGAGCCGTAGTATTTTCTCTATTTGTTCAACTACGTGTTTGTTGTAGTTAATTGATAGGATCCTCAATTAGCTGTGCCTATTTAGTGTGCATAACTCGGGAGAGAGTGCATATTTAGGTAGTTGTTGAACAACATCACTCCCAAAGTATAAGAGGGATCTATAACTGCGGGTTTAAAGGCGGGATTAGGGATAACGAAGCCTTGGGTGCAATCTAAAGTGAGCTGTAATAAACAAAGCCAGCTAGCGTAACTCGGGAGAGTGCGTCTAGTAAATTATGGTAATTACTCGGGAGAGAGTTATGACAGTCAGAGCGCTCATGATCGGTAGAGAATACTTAGGCGAATTTATAGAAAACGTAGCGGGAAGGATTCCGACAATTGAGGAAATCATAACTCTAGACCTCCTTAATCTCGACTCCAATCCTTATCCTTATTAATTGATAGTTTTACGATTTTCTAGATTTGTTAGTTAATTAGATAAAATAAATATTATAATCTTTATAATTAGAAAATTGTTTGGACTTGTGTTTCTTAGCGATATTGAACAACTATAGCTAAGCCTAATTCTCTGTGGATTCGACTCCGGACTGTAAACCGGATTATATTTGCAGCGACCACTTATCCTTTTTAGGACTAGAGTTGGGCGTGATCAAATTTTTTTGGCGCCGTTGCCGGAGAACTAATGTATAGTTGTAAGGTGTACATATTGCTAGGTTTCAAGTTTGAACTTTATTTTATTATTTGATTTTTTTTTATTTTTTATTTTAGTTTTTATTTGTTTATTTGAGAAAACATACACCATGGAATTATGAGAATTTTGATGTTGGAATTTCTACTTTTAATCCTCCTTATGCATATTGTGAAGGAAACCACCCAGGGCAAAATTATCAAAATATTCCCGAGAGCGAGTTTATGTGCACCAACTCAATCTTATGTGTGGAATGTGTGTGATATGTGTGGTGCTCAAGATGGTCACTTTCATGGTTGTGCTTATAGTTCTTATCTTCCCCCAACCCCTTACTTTAATGGTTCTTCTTTTTCGTGTGAAGTTAATAGGAACAAAGAACCCTAGTATGAGGACCTGAAAGAGATCGAGGATATGCTAAAGTGCCTTACGGAACAATATGATGAGATACAACTGCGGGTACAAAGGCAAGGGGCAACTATTCACAACTTGGAGGCTCAAGCGAATAAATTAATTGAACCTTGTAAAGCGCAACAAGTTGACATTGTGGATAGTAGCCAATATGAGCATGAATTGGATGTAGAAATTGCCATTTTACTGGAGGATTTAAAAAAATACGAGGATGAGCTAGAGGAGGAGGCTAGAGTAGAACACCAACAATCAATCGCACTAGATTTTGAGGATGTCGATGTTGTAGAAGAGATACTAGAGTCAACCAAGGATATTGAGGATACATATTTAGTTGACTCTATTGTCATTAGTGTTGAGAATGTGGACAGTCCCAATGTTCATGTAGTTGAGCGCATTGGTCCTCACTCCAAGCATTTTTCCACATTGTGTTTAGATGATGATATGGAAATAGAGTCGTCCGAGCCACTTGAGGAGTCAAGGAATGAGGAACAAAGTGCCTACATTCTGGAATTCTTCTTGCCAGGAAGTCGGGATTACACACCTCATATAAAGGCCAAGAAGTGCAGAATACTACATTATTTTATTGGGCCAGTCAGATTCGTTCCACCACCCCGGGAGCATGATCATAGAGCAGAATCAAAACTTGGGGACCGATTCATAAGTTCAAAGTGGAGGCAGAAAGTGATTCACGTCGTGCCACGACGTTAAATCAAGCGCTTGTTGGGAGGCAACCCAGCTTTATTGCTTTCTTTTATTTATTTTTTTATTTTTTTAATTGTGTTATTTTTGTAGTATCAATTTTTTTATTTTCTAGGAGCATGGAAAGCAAAGGTATTGGAAGGATGCATCAGCAAACCAAATGGTTGGAACTAAGTGTGAGGTACCCGCACGAAGGACCAAGCTTGGGAGAAGTCTGAGTAACCCATGAACTGCTAGTGCTTCGGCCTTTGGCCTACCAGGGAATTTCTTTTACCCTCTTGTATGTATGGGTGTGCATTGGGGACAATGCACAATTTTAAGTGTGGGGTGAGGAGATTGTCTGGGTGACTTTTCATGCTACTTTAGCTATGTTCGTTTAATTAAATAATTTTTTTTAAAAGATTGGACTTTTCCTGATGACGGATCTTCTAGACAGTTTTCTTGAGGGAGGTAAGTCTAAAGAAAATACCAAAAGGATTTTTTGTTTTGTTTTAGGTAGTGTAGTAACTCCCCCTTGATTTTTCTTTGGGCCACGGTTCTTTTCCAAGGGTTTTATTTGAACCAGGTGTAGTTAGTTTTTTTTAAGGAATAAGAGCCATTCTGTTGTGCTTTGACTTAAAGCAATATCTCTTGACTTGGTTATACCTTGAGAACAGTGAGTACTTTGGTTGTGACGCTTAGGCTCAGTTTTTGACTCTTGTAGAAGTACCTTAAATTGTATGATTTTAACTTTGCTTAACTGCTTTGACTAGAGTGTCTTGATGAATCCAATCCTGAGTGAGTTATGTGCCGTGTGTGTGAGGTTTAGGTGATATTCTGTGCATTGCATTTGATGCCTAGAACTTTTCCCGTGTGTTTGCAAAGCGAAATAGTAGTTTTATTCAGTCTAGGAAGTGATATAGGCATTTCCTTGTTGAGCCAGATATGTATATTTTACCCGCCTAATTGTTATGTATCGTAGTTAACCCCTTTGAGCCTGTAATCCTGTTTCTTTGGCAACCACATTACAAGTCTTACCCAATTGTTTGAATGGACTATCTATTTGAATCTTTTAACCTCTCGTAAGCACTTGAATTGTGATGATTTATATAAAAGTTAAAGTGTGGGGTGGTTGGTTTGGCTTTTGAGTGAAACTAATGAAATCAGGAGAAATGTGCACTGTTTTGAAAAAGTAAGAGCCACTTGAATTGGAAAAAAAAATATAGTTGTATTGCTGTGAAAAAAAAAAAGTA